TGGGCAAGCTGTCCAGTCCCAGGGCCACCCCAGAAGCAGGTGGAAAATCCTGAAATTATAATTCTGCTTATGTCAGAATTAACTTGATTGTATATTATTATTATTTATTATTTTTATACCCATGAGAATAATTAAGTAAGAGGCATGATTTAGAGCCCCAAACTGGCATTTGCATGGCAATTCTGACATTAGATATTTTTTTTTGTATTGATCTCTCTGTCTATCACTGTATTGTAATTAACACCTGCAGGTCTGAGGGCTAAATTAAACTTGATGGGGACAACTTGCTTTTACATGTCAACAGCCACCCTGTAGTGAGTGAAGAAGGTGCAGTCCTTTTCCTGGAACAGAACTTAGTTTTAAAAAGTAATCAATTTCTGTTAGCTTAGAGGGGTCTAAAAGTAATTGGTTGCTGACATTTGTTACAGTTTTTAGAAGCAGCTCCTGGCATTGCTCATTACTTTTATTGCAGTTACGGAACACGAGAGAGACTAAAAAGCATAAATATTGCTCAAGTTAATGAACAAGCCAAAAATTAAAACTCTAGTTGTGTCAGGCACATTTGGTAATAATAAGCATACACCCCCATGAAGCGGTATAATAGTAGTTTGGATTTGAATGACCATCTGTCAGCCAGGAAAGGGTAGATAAATTACAATGTTCTTTAATCCAGCAGGCTGTACAGAAGCACGTTTTCCTAATCCTCTGGTCTAAAAGCCTGGATTTCCAAAGCACCCAGGAGACAACCAAAATGCTGAAAGTGAAACATTAGCTCTCGGCACGTTCTAAATATTCTTTTTGTAGTTAAATATTCTTCCTGTGGGTCAGCAAAATGATCAGTTACTTGATTATTTGGAGACATGCACACATGCACAATATAGACACAAGCGGGTATGCACAGACACACGCAGGCATAGCTGCTGTGGGATAAAGCCTCAGGATTTCACTTCTGCCTGCAGAGAAATATGAGCCAACCAGAGAGCTTTTATCAGGAAAAGGTTAAGCTTAATGCCCTGAAATTTAATATTGACAGAAGGTACATCTGTCTGCCTGAGGGAACCTTTACAACAGGGACCGTTAATGTTTGTATTCTCTAAAGTCACTCTTCTTCAGACAGTTGTCCAGCTCAAAGTCTGGGTCACTTTAAAATAAAAAAGCTGAAGCTATCCCTAAATAAGCAGTGGTAGGATGATGCCCTAGCACCAAGATCATCATCCCCACATGTTTTTTTCATGATGGGTTCTGTCATGTCTCTGCATTCACTCTTTAAAAGTAATCAATTTATATATACTGTATTTGCAGTGAATGCCGCAGAGCGATGGAGGCCCTGGGCTTACACTGAAGCTTCATACAGGATTCAGAAACCATCTTAACATATTCCACATGGGACATCTTTGTTTCTAATAGCTTGAACACTGCAGAATTGTAAATATCTTTTCCCTTTTTTGTCAAATGGTGTAGTAGGTTATATTTGGATCATACTTTATTTAACTTTGGGT